AAAAAAAACAACTACAATGTAAAGTAATGTAGAAAACTAAAATCAGGAACATGTCTGCATTTGTTTTTCAGAGGAACTTATCAGATGTTTGAAGCCACTTAGAGATGTCAAGGTCGAGAAATTCAGATGTTTTTGTAAGATATTCCACGAAACAGGAGGAGTAGGAGAAGACCATTTTGCCAAGTTCAGTCCGCACTGAGGGAACACTGCAGGTAATAATGTCCTGAGAGTGCACGCTGTAGCTGCACTCACACAGAGACATGTAGGAGGAGATGTATGAAGGCAGCAGACCAAGAAGTGATTTAAATATGAAAATGTACCAGTGAGAGAGTCTGTGTGAAGTTAATGACCAGTTAACCAGTGAATTCAGGGTGCAATGGTGGGTACGGTAGGTACAACCAGTTTTGAATCTTAGTGCACCATGATAGACAGCGTCCAATATCTGCAGGGTGATTGTAGAAGCGTTCATGGAAATATTGTAACCGTAATCAATGGAGGGAAGGAAAGTCACAGATACAAGGCGTTTCCTAGTGTTCTAAGACAGGATCTGTTTCTGAAAAAGAAACTCAGTTTAATTTTAAGTTTCCTTACCAGGTTTTCCACATGGAGCTTCAAAGAGAGACGAGAATCGACCAAGATACCCAAATAGTTGTAGGAATACACTATATATATATGAATATATGAATATATGAATGTACAGTTGATTTGCACATGCACACAGCATTGTCGCTGAGGAGTGATTCGTTCATGTAGTACTGCTCTGGAAGTGGCGCTGTCACTTACTACTACAGTATTGTACAGACCAAATAAACTGCATGAACTGAAGGATTCAATGAACAAATCTTTTGAACAAATCATTTTAATGAACTGATTCTAGGGATTCAGTACACTTAAAAGAACTGTCGTTGCCATCACTACTGCAGCAACAACAGAGTGGGGCAGCGCAGGACTCTCTGACTGATTCTCTGATTTTCAGACACTCTTAGTAAATATATTCATTCAATCAATATATCTTGACTGTTATTGTTTTGAAAGTGTAAAAATGAAATGTGAACAGGTGAAACAGATTAGTGTCAGATACAGACTCTTGCAGAGTGCACTGATTAGCTAGAAAAGTTAAAAAAGAACGGTTAAAAAAACCCAGAGACTTAGGATTGTGTTTTATTCATTTAATAGTGCTGCATAAGTTTTTTTTTTTTTTTTACAATGTCTTCAATGTCTAGACTCAAATTTGAACTCTGCTGCTATTAACAAATATCAAGGTTAAACTGAAACTGAGATTGTAATATTTCTGTATGTAATATGTGATATTTTGTTTCATTGCAGCATTTTGGATGAATCAGAACAGACTCAAGTTAAAAAACAAATGTACTGTTTTTTCTGTCGTAAACGTCGCACCGCCCTATAAGTCGCAACAGTCCAAATATGTCTAAAAATGTGGAAAATCCATAAATATGTTGCTTCGCCATATACGTCGTGTTGTGCTAAAAATCGATGGGCTGCCAAATGGAGGCCGTGGGAGCGTGCAGAGTAGGACTTTAACAAGAATTTAACAAGATTAACACTTAAAAATAATTATTTGTTTGCTCAAAATTACAGTATAGGTGTGTCTTAGTCTAACGTTTGCTTAATAAAAGGACTTTAACGGTCAAATCAGCTGTATTCGTTACCTCGGTGCTCTAGGAGCGTGCAGAGGAAGGAAAAAAAATAAGGAGCAACGCTGCTCGTTTCTTCAAAATTTAACAAGAAAAGCACCTAAAACCATTATTTGTTTGCTTGAAATTATAGCAAAGATGTGTCTCAGTTGAGCTTTTACTTAATAAATGCACTTTAATGGTCAAATTAGCTTCATTTTGCTGGAGAGGTGCAGCTGGTTTGACTTGCTTCAGCAAGCACAACGAAGGTGGGAACCATGGCAAGTCGATTGTGTCATTAATAGTTGGTCAAGTCAAGTCAAGTCAGCTTTATTTGTAGAGTACATTTAAAACAGAACCTGTTATCAAAGTGTTTAACAACAACATCAACGGAAGTAAAATTAATGAAAAAATACCTTACACTAATAATAATACTGAAGAATTAATAAAAAGCATTTAAAACATAGGAATGCAGAACAAAAAAACACTAAATCAATTCACACTGTGTGAAATGCCTGCGAGAACAGATGTGTTTTTAGCAGGGATTTGAAATGAGGAAAGGAGGTGGCCTGCCTGATGTTGGGGGGCAGGTTGTTCCAGAGTTTGGGGCCCATGACTGAAAAAGCCCGATCTCCTCTGAGCTTCAGTCTTGCTTTAGGAACAGCCAAAAGCAGCTGATCGGATGATCTCAGGGCCCGAGAGGGAACGTGTGGTTCCAGTAACTCAGAGAGGTAAAGGGATGTGAGGCCGTTTAGGCACTTGTAGGTCAACAGAAGAATTTTAAAGACTATCCTCATACGAACAGGGAGCCAGTGAAGGGAGGACAGAACTGGTGTAATATGTTCAGACCTACGAGTTCTGGTTAAAAGCCGAGCAGCAACATTCTGGATGAGCTGAAGACGTGAGATGGAGGCCTGGCTGACCCCAGCATAGATTGCATTGCAATAGTCCAATCGGATCGTGACAAAGGCATGGACTAGTTTCTCAAAGTCGGGTCTGGACAATACTGGCTTGAGCTTAGCTACCTGTCTTAGCTGGAAGAAGATTTTCTGCAGAACAAAGTTCATTTGTTTGTCAAACTTGAAATCAGAGTCTAAAACCATCCCGAGATTTTTACCAGACTGCTTAAGATTTGGTTGAAGAGAGTCCAGGTTGACAGGATCAGTGGCGGCAGTTGTGCTAGGGCTAAAGACAATGATTTCAGTCTTCTCATCGTTAAAACTTAAGAAATTTGAAGCCATCCGGGCCTTAATGTCGTCCAGACATTTTAACAAAGGGTGAATGGAGCAAACACTTGCTGGTTTCACAGGCAGGTAGATCTGACAGTCATCAGCATAACAATGGAATGAAAGACCTTGTTTCCTCAGGATGGACCCCAGTGGGAGCAAATAGAGTGAGAACAGAAGGGGTCCAAGAATCGAACCCTGTGGGACCCCGCAAGAAAGAGGCAATGAGGCAGATACATTATTACCAACCATGACACAAAAGCTCACGCCACTCAGGTATGTGCGTGAATATTCTCAGTCATCCAGGACATTGTAAATAAAAAAAAAAAGTTCAAGACAAAAACAATAAAGTATAATGTAAAGTATAATAAATAAAGTCCAGTTATTTTTGTCTTGAACTTTTTTTGAATTTGTCATTATAGCCACGTTTACCTATTACATGATACTATGGCATGCTATACTGTTACTACTACTCTTCTACCATCTAGTGGCTGAAAATGGTACTGTTCTTTTTTCCCAGTCAGAATGAATGAAAACGGTCATATATCAGCCAAAAATGGGTTTATAAATGTGGAGGAAAAAAAATCCATAAATACATTGCTTCGGCCTATAAGTCGCAGGGCATGTAAATTATGCAAAAGCTGCGACTTATAGGCCGAAAAATACGGTAAATAAAACTGACCAAAGGGCAAGGTCCTTATTTTCCGACACCTGAAGTTGTTTTGAAAACTAAAAGACACACAGTCTCAATCCACTCCATGACTTGTTTACGTTTAATACGTGTTTTTCACTTAGGTGAATGTAGTTTTAGCAGCAGTGATTCATAGCAAACATTTAAATCGCCAAATTGGACTTTTATTTCTGGCGGTACATCGAACAACCACTACCAGTCTAGCAGCTTAGCCAACAAAGGTAATTTGTTTCCGGAATAGAAATTTCAAAATAAATCTTGTCCTGAAAGGCACACTTTTAAATATGTGTGTGTGTGTGTGTGTGTGTGTGTGAGAGAGAGAGAGAGAGAGAGAGAGAGAGAGCGAGAGAGAGAGAGAGAGAGAGAGAGAGAGAGAGAGAGAGAGAGAGAGAGATTTGCAAATATACTTTTAGTAAATTAAGTCATTCAGTTAATATATTTTGACTGATATTGTTTTCAGATATTCTAAAAGACTAGTTTTGCTAGGATTACAAAATTATGAAATAAAATAATTAGTTTTTACTTGATGCCGCTTTTGAATTGAACGATTTTCTGCTTTTGAAAAGTCTGTAACATCAGAACATTGCCTAGGTCAGACATTTTGTTTACAGTCTTATCATCTTTGAAAAATCTTTTGAAAACTGTTATAAAATCTAATTTTATTGATTAAATGATTTAGTAATTTGGGGAGTGGTGGCGGGCAGCACGATGGCACAGTTGGTAGAGCTGTCGCCTTTCAGCGAGCATGCCGCCCTGGTTCAAATACCAGCTGGGGGCCTCTTTGGGTGGAGTTTGCATGTTCTCTCCGTGCATGCGTCGGCGTTCTCCGAGTACTCCGGTTTCCTCCCACAGACCAAAAACATGCATGTTAGACTGATTGGTAACTCTAAATTGTCCCTAGTTTGTCTTGATATGTCCCTGTGATGGACTGGAGACCTGTCCAGAGTTTACCCCACCTCTTGCACATTGACTGCTGGACATGGGCACCAATGACCCTCATGACTCGAAAAGGAAGAAGTGGGTAAAAGATAATGGATGATGGATGGATGGGGATGGCACTGAGGTTAGAGTTTGATTTAATAGCGGCATTGGCTTGTGCATACCTTATCTGTGGTTTGTCTAAAACAGGTCTCTGTTGAAAATGAGTCTTCGTGACTCCATGAGACTAACCTTTATAAATAAATGTTGAATTAAAAAAAAATAGGACTCCATTGAATCCATGGATGATTTGCTACTGATACCATTGGTTAGACAACAAAGTTAGCTCAAATGTGACTAAATGTCAACATTATTTTCTCAAGCACCATATCAAGAAAAAAAAAAAGTTTCGTACCAACTCTGACCATATTGTTCTCTTATTTTGAAAGCGTTCAGTTTCACAGTTCCGGTCTTTCTCTGTGTTTACATCCTGCAGCTTCACGGATTAGCTCGGTGGGCGGGGCCAAGCCAGAAACGTTCGAGCTCATTTCTCCTCACGTTCAGTGCTGGAGAAAGTCCGTCCGCTGGTTCTGATGATAAAAGAAGTCAAGCGTAACTCGGGGTCCATTTTCTTACTCGGGCTGCCCACACATGTGCTGACACCTCTCCAGATATTACACGTATCCCGTCGGGCGGCGGAAGGAATTCTCATTTAGCTGCTGTGACACATTTGTAAAAAAAACAAAAAAAAAACACCGAATAGCGGGAACGAGAGGGGAGAAGATGTTAATGAAGGAGTACAGAATATGCATGCCTCTCACAGTAGAGGAGGTGAGTTTTCCTTTTATTTCGCCTCTTCTTTGTTTCTTATTATTTAGCCTGACTGGATAAAGCTTGGAGCTTTAATCACAGACGACCTTAAGCTAACTGTTATTCCCAACATGTGGCTTCAAAACATTTCTCATAAAGTGTAGGAAATGCTCAGATGAACTCTGCGCTTCATTGCAAAAAAAAAAAAAAAAAGTAAAGTCAATTGTCTTTATGTTTTTTTTTGCTCCACATCCCTCTATCCAAGCTTATCTTTCTAAACATGTGGAAGCCAGAGATAACAGTGTAAGCTATATATATAAAAAAACAAGACTTGTGTAAAGAAAATACCTTTTTTTTATGTAGCTGCAGGCTGCACACTGTTTTACACACTGTTTTACACACAGTGTGTAAAACAGGATCACTATCTGCTCAGCACCATGCACACACACACACACCATGCTCACATGTAAACACACTTGCAGTTGCATGCAAATTGCATTTTATTAACTCAATCAAGCCTTATTCGTTGCACATGACCACACTAACCCTGCACAGTCTACACTTATCTGCATTAGTGACCCTCTGCTGCACAGATTGATACCATTGTTTTGGGATTCTGTGGTTCCCACCATCTGATAGCACATGTGGACAATTAATTTCCTGTCCTGGTATGTGTACTGTACTCCTCCACTGTATCAATTATCACCTTTACCGTTACCGCTGCTTTGTCCTTTTCCATATCTTGTGTTGTTGTTTCTCTCAAAGCCACGAGATTGTTGTTAACTGGGAATTATAGTCTGCACCGTGCCATCGTATCAGTTCACGAACTGCAATGGAAACCCTGACGTGTGGATAATAGGAAATACTTGTAAAGATGACACTATTCAGAATATTCGGAGCGCGTTTTGTTAAGAGTTATTTACAGGAATGAAAGGAAGGGAGAGGTTTTCACTCCGATTTCCTTTCTCCCACTCGCTGGCTCTTAGACTGCTGATATGATTGGTTTCTCCGTTACTGTGTGTAACCTTACACACGACTGCGCCAGTTTTCTGCCTGTTTTCAGCTCGCTTTTAGAAGTCACGGCAGGATTTGAGGAAATCTCAGACTGGAGATATCTTTTTTTTTTCTTTTAAAGTGGATTGAGGCACATACTTTACATTTACAGTCTTGCAGAGGATTGGTTTTATACCCCAGCTCGTGTTATTGCCACAAAACTGCCGGTGGCATTTTTCTCAGCTCAGGCGACACCAAAATAGGCATTGACTCATTTAGAAATCCGAGTTCAAAAAGGAAATGTCACCTTTCTGATACAGTGAGAAATGCAGTGTCTATGAGAGGAACCACACGTGTAGGTTATGTGGGTCTTTGCACTGCTAAATGATTTTTCCATGCACTCAAACAGCCTCTGCCCATGCGTATATTTTGAGCCTAAAGCAGTAAGCACGTTCATGTTCCATCTGTTGTAAGGAGGTGGTTGTTTTGAGAAGCACGAAGAGTCAAATCAAAAGCTCAACGTGCGATCGAATTTGAACTTATTCCGCTTCAAAAACGTGAACCAAAGTCGTACCCAGTCAATAAACCTGATTACACGTAAACGGATCATTCTTTCACACGTTTCGAGCTTGTCGGCATGTTTTCTCTTTCCGAGTCCTTGACAACTCAAAAGACAAAAAAACAGCACACGACCTCAACAATATTGTTCCCCCTGCTTGTTAAAACGTCTTTAATCTATTTGTTTAATTTGAACAGACAATAAAAAGTTCAAACAAAGAAAGAGAAAACATAATAATAATAATAACAAATAGTCATGCCAATTGACATGCAACTTTACACAATTTGTTTGAGAAGGAGCAGGTAGACGATAAAGATCTTATGATTTCCTGCCCCAGTCAGACACATCAATATACAGTCATTTTAGTCTCCCCACGCCAAATAACCCCTTATAAGTAGGGATGCACGATATGGGATTTTTAGCCGATATGTTAAAACTTATTTGGCAGATACCGATATTTTAATATACGTTCCTTTGTCAGGACATAACCCTCTTATTTAGGCTTATTTGCTACAAAAATTGTGCAGCAGCTGTAAGAGCTGGTGACATATATTCAGTTACAGCCATATGATATGCATAGCCCTTTAACTTGTATTAAATGAAAAGTGTTAAATGTTATTTATTAGCATTAGTCACTTGTGATGCTGTCTCACTTGTGGAGGCTTGTTCCAGGTTCCTAGCTGCAGTGTGGGATCCTCTGCACTCCTGTGCATGAAGGACAGCAGTTTTAAGTTCAACGTTTTTGTCTATCCATTGTGCCGTAAGACTAATCATGCTAACGGGGCTAACACGACGTCCAAATGTCTGTGGTAAAACTCACCCAACAAGTCGTGCTGTCGGCTATTAGCTTCTCAATGACGTCAAAATGACAGCCTGTAAGTCGGGTAACTCTGCGTCGGAAAAATGTCTGCAACGGGGGACGATGTAGCGAGGTTCAACATAGTCCATAAATCTTCAGAATCCGACATCCTCACCAACGAAAAATAAAACTTCCACATTTTGAATTTTCCTCTCCACCGTGAGATCAGGTAGGCGCATGTGACGTCATTGCGTTGCGCTGCCGCTGCAGGCAAAAACAGCGCCTTTGATATCGGCAAGTTATTTTAATGGAATGGCCGACGTCCGATATTGAACTTTTAACGCTAATACCGGCCGATACCGATACCATGCTGATAATATCATGCATCCCTACTTATAATACTCCCACATTAAATGACACTTAAACCTCACATTCTCATTGTTGAATGTACAATTGTTTGCACATTATTAATTAACAGTAGCATTTTTGGACTTTGAAAGCTAGTGATGTGTTAGTGTTTGCAGAGGAAAAGCATGTCGCTTCTCCAGCTTAGAAGATGTCCAGCTTTTTCATCCTTATCTCATCCAAACTTCAACCTAAAATTGTGCTAAAGTAGTCCCTCGATTATCGCGGTGGTTACGTTCCACCCCCACCCCCCAACCCCCGCGATAGGTGAAAAACCGCTAAGTAGGAACGCTATATTTATTTTAGTGTTCATATATATTTTAAGTCTTTATAAACACTTCCCACTCTTGCAATGTTCTAAACTCTTAAACCTACAACATTTTAACAACACACGATTGGGCTCAGTTCCAGTTCTGCAGACCTACCCTGCAGCGACTTAGCCCACCGCCCCGTCCAGGTTGGTGTGCGCGTGGATAATTGAGCTTCAGGATTATTTGCGAGTTTCCTGCCAGTTCTGTGAGCTTAACAGGTAGCGTAGATTTGCATTGCAAAACTTTCCCTCTGTTTTGGCAGAAAGCAGCGGTCAGAAGCACTGTTGGCTTCTGGGTAGCGTAGTTTGACTGGCCTCACAGTAAAGGCTTATTAAAAGAAAACTACAAAATAGCAGCGCCTGTCCGAAGTTTTTTTTTTTTTTTTGTAAACTTTTTATCCTGTACCGTCCCAATCATGTGAGTAATATTAAAGTGGACAATCATTGAAAAACCTCAAAAGAGCGAGTCCGCGAATGTGGAACCGCGAATTAGCGAGGGACTACTTACTGTACATCGGCTGTGGGAAGCTTAAGTGCACAAATAGAAGGCAGCTTAAATTGGCTGTGTTTCATCTTGAATAAGTTTCTGAGTTAAAGAAGTCTTTTGAGTGAAAGGTGAAATGCCTTTGTAGGAGCAGGTGATAAATAAATAAATAAATATATTTGTGAATGGGTGTTGGGTCACGTGGGTAATCAGCTGTCTATATAGTAGGAACCTTTTCTTTGTGAGTTAGGTGTTCCACCCGAAAGGGGGAAACAGTTTTTTGACCACTGAATATGAACTAGATGTTGTCAACAGATGGAAACGTTGTGGAAATATGTATTGCCTTTAAATGGACACAGATGAAACGTAAAGAATAAATGGATGACCTGCAAACGAGCAAGGACGGCTCTGACTTTTAATTCATCTGACAAGGTAACAATTAGCGCGTCAACAATACCCCGGTGTATCACCTCAGTGGCTTAAAGCATTGGCTTGGCCTCTACAGCCTTCATGAAACAAGTAAGGAACTCCGTTTGTCTTTTATATTCAAGCATTTCAAATTGCCATTACCCAGTTGAATGAGAATCTCCATTTTACACCAACCGACGTATTAGAGGTGGGAAGGTCAACCATATTTTTCTTTGTCTTTTGTTATGATCTATAAATTCACACATGTTAATATTTCATTTAACTACAGTAAAAATATCTCATTTTGCTCTACAAGTTGTTTGACTTCTGTTTAATATCCCAACTAGCAAAATGCTATTAGTTATTCTTTGTTTTCTCCTCGTTCAAGAACAGAATTTTTTGTTGGTTGTCTTAAAATGCACCATTACCCTCTTTTCCCTAAAATTGTTTAAAATAAATGAAAACCTGGCTATATAGAAGAGCTGTAATCCTGTTGTTTTTAGACCAAAGTATATTAGAAATAAAACTAGAAAGTCCCTGGAAAAACTTTGAGAAATGTTGATTTGACAGATACCATGTGTTGGGGTTTCGCTGAGCTTCCACCATTCCAAATTTCAGCTCAGTATGGCAAAAACATCAATGAGTTAGTCTTTATTTTTGTTTAAGCTTTGGTGGCCATCATGGATTTTTGATTTGGATTCATTTTGTGATGGGGGACGTTCTCAGCTACAACCACACCAAATTTAAGTTGTATATGTGTAAAACTAGCCGAATTAAAGCCATTTAAATGTAGCTTTGGTGGCTATCTTGGATTTTTGATTTGCAATGAGGGTCTATGAAGGATCACTCTCAGCTACCAATACACCAACTTTTAGTTAAATAGCTCTAAAAAAAACCTCTGACTTATATCCATTTGAAATTAGCTTTGGTGGCCATCGTGGACCCGCTGTACGAGCTGATCTCCGACAAAAACATAATACAAAAAAATGTCTACACAAATGACAAAAGCCTATCATCTGCTTTAAAACATAACCGCTTTAGGCTTTTAATTTTTTAATCCCAG